ATTCAAAGTTAAATGCAGTCAATAGTTTCTGTCAATATAAGAGCATTATCCAAAATTAAAAATTGGCACATACGAAATTGGAAATCGTAATTTGAATTTTATTTGATAAATTGTCAAACATCGTTTGAATTAGAAAAAATAAATTAGAGCAAGTAGTTAATATTTTAGGCCTTCTGATTTTGTAAAATACCTTTGAATAATGTAAATACACAAAGCACGTAAATATTTGCTTTGTTCAGAGTAAATTAAAACAAAAATATATCTATAAATCTGAACGAGAAGATAATACACACATCATGTGAGTTAAAAGCAGCTGACATATCTTACACACTTATCTTCGTATATTGAGAACTAAATTAATTTAGAAATACATTTAAATTTTTGACGAGAATATAGGATATTTCCAATTCGGAAATCATAATTTTAATTTTGTTCGATAAACTTTCGTACGTTTTTAGGGTTCCGTACCTCAAAAGGTAGAAAAGGAACCCTTATAAAGATCACTTTCTTGTCCGTCTGTCCGTGTGTCACCACCGATTTTCTCAGGAACGGGTAGACCAACCAAGTTGAAATTTATACCAGATACTAAGGTCTATGGTCCCTAATACGTGTTTAAATATCAAGGTCTTGAGTCAACACGATAAAAAGATATGGGCAAATTTCGATTTTCGCGAAAACTTGTAAGTACAAAAATTTACCTTAATTTTCAACTTTTTTTATTTTTCAGAATTTTCTCTTTACTTGTGCTGTAAGAACTTGCTTTTAACCAAAATTGTCAATTCTAGGTCAACCGGAAATACCCTATAGGTTTTGGGTCGAAAACCTATAAGGTAGTTCCTGTTGACCTAGAATCACGAAATTTGGCAAATAGAAACGTCTTAGAGCACAAATAAAGGAATAATTACAAAAAATAAAAAGTTAAAAATTCAGATAAATTTTGGTACTTACAAATTTTAGCGAAAATCGACGTAAAATCTGGGTAGGTATGACCCTCGGCGCACGAGTTCGACTAGTACCTGACCGGTTTTTTGAGTTAGAGAATAGAAGTAGAATGTAGTCAATATTTAGCGTCGGTTGAAAAATTAAAGCATCAAAGATATTAAAAATAACACATTTTAAAGAGGAAGTCAGAAACTTACTTCTATTATAAAGTAACTACTGTATAGAATATATAATTGTATTCGGTACATTATATTCTGTAGTTTATTTGTTCGTGATCGTCTAGAGAAAAAGTGTTACAAAAACTAGAGTACAGTTCTGGGATGAATATAAAAATAAATAGATTCTAAGAAAGAAAACAACACACAAAACATGAGGATAAAAGGTTTACATTACAGAGGTTACTTTATGAAAATGGTCGGCTAATGCATGAGTTAGGAGTGCGTCTTAAGCTAACATTTCCATTATATAATTTTGCAAAGGAACAACTTTTTTATTTAATGGATTTTTTATATTATGTGTGACAATCACAGGCTAAGACATAATTAACTGTTCAGTGAAACAGTGTTCATGAAATAGCAACAAAAAAATCACAAAACGGACAGCCGTTTTCAGGACAGTTTCAAATTCACATGATTTATTAGAACCAGAGTTGAAAAAATCTTAGTGATCTTTGAAATTAATTTTTTTATCGGTGTTATTTACTGTCCACTAGTCCGTATAATAATCTTTTTAAAACTTATTGTTTACTTAAAATGTTTTTTTTTTCACGGAAGAGGCGGCAAACGAGCAGACGGGTACCTGACGCTCATAAACGCCTGCAACTCAGGAGTCACAAGCGCGTTGCCGGTCTTTACGTTCTTATCTTGAAGATTTCAAGATCGTATTGGTCCGATAACTTGATCCACAGATTGGTTTTGACATTGGGCTAATCATAACCTCTTTGATTATGTGGCGACTCCCACATACAAAGAAACAGAAACATACTACAGCGCCATCTAACGAGGACACACCGAACATCATTATCAACATCAACGGTTGGGCCGCGGTCCGCCAGGCATGATCACCCCGCCTGGTCGGAGGATCCTCCCCTTGTGTTGAAGGGACATAACAGCCGTTCCTCTACAATTAATTCAATTTAAATTTCTTCATATTCAACCAACTTCAAAAAGGATAATTTTATAGACTGAATATTTTTTCTGTGTAGATTACGCAATGTCTTAGATTTTTGTGAACCGAGGTTAATAATACTTCTTTTAATTGAATTGAATGAAATTTAAAAAAAAGATTAATATCGAATAAAGTAACAGTGACGCAATCAATTGTTTTGTCAAAGTGTTGAGAATGTACGTTAATGAGAAAAACGTGAATTAAAAACTCCATGTTTTATAACATCGAGCATTTTCATAATTATTTACATATCTAAACAGTACTACTTAGTGGTACCTAATTGTTGTACAAAGATGTAAGAAGCTATAATGATATGTTGGGTCATCATTACATTTACAAGCAGCTTTATTTGGGACATGTTTCGACTCACTTCGTTAAATAAGTGCGAAAACGTATTCGAATGCGATACAGGATAAACTTTTTAGTATAAGTGACAATCCGATACTAAACACTTCGTTTGTGTGCCTATTCAACAAGTTAAGGTAAGCTCCTACGCGATTTTGTTGTTGTTTAATGAGTTCGTACGGTGTAAGGTCCATTGCAGAGTTTTTTTTTATGGTCTAAGGGGGCAAACGAGCAGACGGGTCACCTGATGGTAAGCAACTACCGCCGCCCATGGACACCTGCAACTCAAAAGTCACAAGTGCGTTGCTGCCCTTAGAGTCCCTCCCGCTCAAGTTAGCGGGAGGGGATTCGGGCCCCGGTAACCTCACTCACTCAGTGAAAGGCAACGAAAGAATTGCTTAACACTGGTTTTCTGTGAGGCGTAGTATCACTCCGGTCGAGCCGGCTCATTCGTGCTGAAGCATGGCTCTCCCATGGTTAAAGACTATTTCATAATTCCGATGTAACGTAAAAGAATCAGTATCTATTTATCACTTACATTGCTTATTTCAATGTGGTTTGATATAGATCTACTTCTATTATGTTTTTTGTTTCATGGTTATAGTCTTCAGTCTAAAGTTCTTTATTTACTACTATTAAGAATAAGAATAAGAAAGAAAAAAAAATATGTATATAAAAATAAATACAGAGAATAAAAATAAAACATATTACACACATCTAGTAAATAACATGGTTAACTATATGTTACGGAAGTACGGAATACGGAAATTGCCTGTGTAATTCCAGGAAAAGTTTGCAGTAACCTTATACATATAAATTAGAGCCCTACTTATATTAGCTCACAAGAGACTTTTCCTTGTATGTAAGATGTTTGCAATTAGCAGTTGTCCAAATTGCGTAGGTCTATCATGTAGATGCATATATTGTACATTTGATCATACATGAGTACTATGAACTATGAGCATAATTCAATCTATATATATTCTTTGACGAATGTCGTCGGGATAAGCCATCTCATTATATTTAGCTTACTTTACCTCATCTTACGATGCAATACTATAAGGATAAATGCAACGGTATTTAACTTTTTATAACGGTAATTACTCGTTTGTGATTTATGTACATATTTGCGCATTTTTGGACACATTTTTTATTGGAACTGGATCGTTATTATTTTTGATTTTCTAAATAACTTACAAAAATAAAAATCCTCTTAAATAAAATGTATACTCAGCAACCGTTTATCAAATTGCATGCATCGTGGTTCTTGTGGTTCTCAGCACTTTATATTTTAAGTAATATTTTCAACTTATCACTGAGTATTCTAATTTAACAATTCAAGCCTAATGTATCAGCCCTCATAAAAAATGTAGCTTTTATAACTGGCATGCAGACAATTATAAGTTGTTTAAATCGATTCTCCGGGACGGAAATGATGGTGTAATTCATGAGAGAACGACTCATTTGTCAAGGTTTTGTGACGATAATGGAAAGAGTTTTATTCAGAAAAAACTTGTAAGTTGAAACCACTTAGCAAAAGATAAAACAAAACAAACAGAGTTTTACAGGATAAAAGAAAAAACAAATTAAATAAACGAAAACACAATTTTATTTTAAATCATGAAACTGAAGTATTTATTTGAACGCGCTAATTTTAGGACTTACTTACTTTTTCAATTGGCAAGTCCCTTTGAACAAATTTATTTGCGTTAGGAAGCCTTTTTACATTGCAGATGAATTTCCCACGCGATAGCTAAACCTATTCATATCTCAATCATTAATTTAGATGTGGAAGTAGGTATACAAGATTTTAATACATTAAATTATTAAATGTTAAATAAAATAATTTTATTGATAAATACGATACACAACCACTATTTACAGATACATTAATAAAAACTTATTTCTTTGTCAGTATACATGAATTTCATGTTTAGATGTTATGTACTATGTGGTTTTGTAGTTAGGTATAAGCGAAATACTTCGTTCTCTCAAAATACCTGTATCACAACAACACAGGCTTTAAGATTAGACAGACTAACATTAACCCTTTTTAGGATTACGTCCCACAAACCTAAGAAGAAACGCTTATAGGATTAGCCTGTCTGTCTCTCATGATCCTTTTTTGTAGGATTGCAGGGAGTGAAGAAATAGGGGCTTATGGCTAGGAGGTAACCTAGAGTCTATAGAGGGGTGACCATTTCTTAACACATTGAGACCTCTCTGTGCCTTGTCGAGCACATTAAGCCGTCAGTCCCGGCTGCCTTACAGACATCTCTGGCAATTTTTACAGGTACTCATAGTTGGACCCCTAAGAGGTCAAAAAATAGTCTTTCTACAGAACTTCGATACCGTCTACTACTTGGATCGTAGAGGTCCAATGGTAGTCGGTCCGAGTAAAACGCTCAGCAGTATCGCAGTAGACTTAAAGTCAATCCCAACCTTGTTTGGAAAAAAGGCTCGGTGGAAGCAGGGAGTGAAGTGTTTAAAATAAGGTTCAAGTACTTATGTCTAAAATTTCTTGAAGTTATAATTTTTAGTTTATAATGTACCCTTGGTACGCGATCCGCTTAATCCGGCAATCTGACAGCGATATATCTGAGATATATAAAGCGACGAAAACCCTGACAGGAAACAGTAGACCCAAAAAAAAGCTTCTAAAGTCTAAGGACGGTCAGCTAATCGCGACGTCTGAACATCAACTGCGACACTGGCGGAAACATTTTGAAGAGGTTTACCGCTCCATTACACCGACCCCAACTGATACACCGCAGCACACCTCCATTCCATCTAGGCTTCTGGACATCAACGTCGATCCACCCACTCACGACGAAGTGGCCAAGGCTATCCAGTCTCTCAAAATTTGCAAACCTTCAGGACTGGACCTGGTTACTGCAGAAAAAACTTACTGAAGCCCATCGATCAGAGCAAGCGACGAGGGATAAAATGGGGTATAACGGCCGTCGAACCTCTTCTTTGCAAAGAGCAGGCTGGTTTCCGCCTGAACCGATCGTGCATCGACCAAACCAACACTCTGCGCATCATCCTAGAACAGGCATCAGAATGGCAAAGGGAGTCACCTAACCTTTGTAGACTTCGAAAAAGCCTTCGACAAGCATATGGTGTCCCACCGAAGATCATCAACTTACTGAAGCCCATCTATAGGAAAACTGCGGTAAACGATAAATTCCGATAAACATGATGGAATCATCTCCGAAGACATTGAGGTACATGCGGGCGTTTGACAAGGTTGCCTGCTTTCAACTCTTCTTTTTCTAGTTGTCCTCGACGGGAGAGCAAGCGACGTGGGATAGATTGGGGTATAACAGATGTCCTAGAAGACTTGGACTATGCCGATGACCTCTGTCTGCTGAATCACATGCGCCGCGATATGCAGTCCAAATTAAAAGACTTGCATTGAGAGGCAGATATCACGCGTCTTAAAATCAATACCCGAAAGACCCAGGAGATGCGATCTGGTGTAGAAACTCGCACACCACTGCGGATTGATGTCAAGGTCGTAGAACGCGTCCACAATTTTACCTACCTCGGAAACGTCATGTCGGAAACATCAGAGTACTGTACACGGGGGTACTGAGGAAGATCAGATCACGCATTACCAAGGCCCGAGCTACCTTCGCATGACTCCGACCCATGAAGTAGTCACGAAAACTGACTCGGAGGATTAAATTAAAAGTATTCGGGTCCAACGTAAAATCGGTACTGCTATATGGATGCGAAACGTGGAAGGTCACAAAAGCCATCTCGAACCGGCTCCAGGTCTTCGTTAGCCTTCGCCGAATTCTTGGGGTATACTAGCCCGAGAAGATCTCCAATGAAGATCTGTTGGAATGCTGCCACGAGTCACCGATCGAACTCCAGATCAAGCGCCACAAGTGGGGCTGGATCAGCCACACTCTGCGTAGGGACCACGAGCATATCGCCAAACAGGCACTGGATTAGCAACCGCAAGTAAAACGAAAGAGTGGCTGCCCAAAGCAAACTTGGCGGCGCACTGTCGCAGATGAGGTGAAGAGAATCGGCAAGACGTGCAGTGGAACGCGATGAAGGACTACTATGGACGCCCCCTGCTCCATCTCAGAGACTTAGGATATTAAGTAAGTCGGTACGCGATACACATTCGCACATGACTAGTATTTTCAGTCAACAAAACAGGAGTTCTATTTTGTCAGTGTGTTTTCAGCTTATCTCTGGTGAAAGGGATTTAAATGTACATTTTGTTTAATTTCTTTTGATAAGAAAGATAATAATCATCTCTAAAGCGTATTGTGTACCGTGTCGAAATTTGAGTCCAATCGGTGAAATACTTTTTGAGTTTTTGAAGCGTACACAAACCAGCTTATTTTTTTTTTATTTATATAATAGATTAATATTTTTATATACATAATAGACATGAAAAATGAAAAATATTGATCCATTGGTATTTGCAATAGGTCATTTAACAAGTCATCAAGCCTTGGTTATATTTAATCTCAAGAAAAATGATTAAACATATTTTTCTAGACAGAAAAAGTAATTAAGCTGCCATTAAGGATGGATTTAATTACTTTCATAACGGGTAACTTCGGGGTAAATTTCGTTATATAAAAAGTAATTTAAAACAATATTACAATCATTTTCAAAAAGTAGTCTAGGTATAATAGATACAGCCAAAACATACCGTTACGACAATGCTGCGGACTCGGAGGTCGTCAGTGTAATACTCGGGAGACAGTAATACATTAGTCACTGTTAGTCACCAGGACATAGATTGTCGGCGCACTGACGAGATCCGACACTTTGTAGATTAGAGACTTTATAATTTGTTTGTTTGTATTTATTGTGAGTTATATTTTGTATTTACCTGAGTTTTTTTAGCTTTACGCAGAGTCAATAAATTCACAACTTCGCACAAACCAACAACAAGAAACTGCTGCAAATAAAATAAAAAACTTATCTAATAATTTTGCTGAAAGGGTTCAGATTATAACATATGAGGGTCGAGTTAGCTGTGTGCTAACTCGACCCTTCTATGTTCATGTGTACACACATAGTCCATCATCATTATCATCATCATCAGCAGCCTTTATATTACATAGTCCATGTAATATAAAGGCTTAGAGTTAACAGCGTTGAAACTCGATGCTACAGGTTTTTTTATCCTATAGTGATATAATACTGACATAATAATTTGTATATGAAGACGCGAGTAATTAACCAACCAGTCAGTAATTTTCACGCTACGAGTGCGTTCGGACGTGACGGATTAAGAATACGGAATGTCACTACCCCAATTCATCCCGTGGGTGTCGTAAGAGGCGACTAAGGGTGCAAAACAACGCAGGACACCAGCACTGCAAAAAGAAGGAAAACTTGATACAAACCCTATACCAACCCGTCTGGCCAGCGTGGTATAGTAGGCCAAAACCTCCTTTCTAAGGAGAGGCCTAAGTCCAGCAGTGGACTATTAAAGGCTGTTGATGTGATGTGATGTGTGATGTGAGTGCGTTCATGTAATACTTTAAGTATATGTATTTAGATGTCATACCAGTCCATGAATATGAATATGAAACTTAATTGTAAATTCTATGCCGAGAAGTCCGCATATCACCGAACTGGGTTCTATGATATGCGGACTTTCAAGAACAGGAACGACCTCTGACTAACTTACAAATTTAAAAAAAATATAAATGCATCATGTCTTAATTATGTTTAAACTAGACATAAATATATATTAATCAAAACTAGGCCAAGTAGTAAAGGCAGAACTGATGTAAAACCCATTGATTGAATTGTTAAAAAAATCCTTTTAATTTTGGCGGAAAGCTGCTTAATTCTGCTGCTCTTAGTTAGAACAATTCCTCGGAGCGATCCCTATGATTTAAAACTATGCTAGGTTTGGTAACTAGCACTCTAGTAATAGGGACATATATTTTTAAACAGAATCGTGGTCGTTCAGTCATGTAACCATTTCTACGATCTTCGTTTTATAGAAACTAATTGTGGTCCGGCGCCTGTGTCAAACGCATTGTGGCCCGTCCACGAGCCCGAGTTTAATTAAATAACATGAAACAGAATGTCAGGAGAAATAAAATTATTCTGTTCGTGCCCCGAATTTGTTTATTTAGCTCGTTAAGGTAACGTTCATGAATTATTTTTACTGGATTACGTTTATAGAACGAATTCTATATTCTTTCAATAAAAGTATTTCTACACGGGGCAGTTTATGTTCGATGATGTAGAATAATATAGATCCACATAATAAATATGAATCTAGCGTAGTAACAATAATACGAGAACGTAGGTTTCACATTTAATTTAGCAAAATCGACATTTATAAATTAATATTCAATGTTACGAATTTCAAAACTTCAGAATGACTATAATCGATTTGAATAAAAAAAAAATAGAATATTTTATTAGTCCAGATAATTTTTGTAATGGAGATAAAAAATTGCTTTATTTTTGTCATTTGATTAGAGCCTGAATTACTTGCCATAAAATACAAAATTGACAATAAATACACTTAGGGTACGCCGCAATTGTGGCGGTAAGACTTGTCATGGAGAAGTAGCCAGGAATGGAACACGAAAACCATTCCTATCGGCTGACGTAGGTAAACTCACTGTATATTGCTGCTTCGGAAAGTAACAGTGCCGTATAGGCCGGGACCCAACTTTTGCGTGCCACACTGCGAAGGCTGTCGCTTGGACATTGCACTCCTAACTTTAGTAACATGTTTAGCATGGGCGTAGTGCGCAGCACCTTAACCATGCGATACGTATCGCATCGATAATCGATGTGAAACTAAAATCAGATAGGACGCCGACAAAAAGTCTATTATATTATATTTATATTTTTAATGAAATGGCTGTTAGTGTAATTAATAAAATCGTCAAACAATCTGTATTAAATTGTGATCAAATATAATTAAAAAAACAGCGTACGGAAACGGAACGGAGTAAAAGGGAACAACGATATTCTTTAAATCCGTCGTTACTATGTGATTGGGCGTTGTGTCGCCAGAATCGAAATGGGGGCGAACTTAAAATTATAATCGATGGTACGAGGTCTGACCCATTATAATTAAAATCAGATAATGCACTGTTGGACATTTTCAGAATTTTCATCAGTTGACTTTTACACTAGGGAAATTTAAAGAAAAGGGTTTCAGGCTACTGAATAATTTAATACATCTCATAGATAACAATGAAAATCTGTCAGCTTTGTAAGTACAAACAGAACCTTAGCCGTTATACAATTTGTGGAAGGTTCTCGCTCGACCGCCTATTCATAGCAATTTATATTTTGAGAGGTGTCATGAATTACGATGCCCACAAATGAAAGTCGGAGCTATAACTTCATTTTGTTTTGTATATATATTTCAGTGCATCGAAAACGACAAAAAACAGAACGAGTACAGATAGATTTGATTAAAATTGTTTTAAGTTGTAATCATGGCTATTATTAAAATGTTTAAAATCCTTCCAAAAACATATAGTGTTTTTGTTGTAATAAATTATATTGACACCATTGTTATATGGATATTATTGGATATATAGTACGACAGGAAACATATTACTCTCAGATAAAGTTGAGTACATTACTATATTAGTGTTTTTAATAACATATATGTTTCTGTTTAATTTCGATCATTTTTCCATGTTTACTGTGAAATAAATAAAACATAAAATACTAACGATATAAAAATCAAAATTGATTTCAACATTGTATCTACAGTTTTTATCAGTCGCTTTCTGTCATATCCAACAATAATCCGGTCATTCGTAAGCAAAACAGAATAATAAAAAGCAAAAAAGAATATTGAGGAAATGAGGAAGCTAGGCGTTTTAACGAGAAATTCTTAAAACAAAGCTTTTAAAAGTAGCTAAAGCGTATTCATATTTAATTA